CATGGTGGACATGAAGTCCTGAGCCGCTCCCGATAAGGCGGTCTCGGCGTGGACATTGAAGTCCCCCAGCACTAGTAGCTGCTGGGACTCCAATGCCAGGTCCGAGACCACCCCTGCTAGCTCAGGTAGGGAGACTGTAGTGCAGCGAGGTGGACGGTACACTAACAGAATCCCTAATCTGTCCCGGTCACCCACCCTCAGGTGGACGCATTCAAAATTTGTTGACTGCGGGATGGGGGCCCTGGTCAGAAGAATGGAATCTCTATAGACCACTGCAACTCCGCCTCCCCGCCCTCCGGATCTCGGTTGGTGCTGCACAGAGAACCCAGGTGGACAAAGCTGGGTCAAGTTTACACCTCCCGCTTCGTCCAGCCAGGTCTCTGTGATGCACGCCAGATCTGCCCGTTCATCCAGGATTAAATCCTGGATGAAAGTTGTTTTACCATTGACAGATCTGGCGTTCAACAGCACCAAGATTTCATGGATGAAGGCTGGGACACGTGGCCAAGCCACATCAGAATGTGGTCAAGATTTCCCCATAGTATTTGGAGGACCTTCTTTTCTAGACTAGAGGAGCTTTGAGCAGCTGTGGCTTTGCAGATGGTTTTAGACAGCAAATCCCACATCACTAGCTAGAACTGATGGAAGATTTTAATCCACAACATCTGGAGGTGGCTAGTCATGCCCTCAGGGAAACCAAAAAGTCTGTACATTGCAAAGAATAGAAGATTGCTGGTCTATGTCAGACAGAAAAGAGAAGCCTAGAGAACTGACTTCGTTAGCCAACAACATTTGGGGCAGCAGTTGTCTTCCTGGGGATCAGATGTGGGAACAGTGAGTCTTGGCAGGCTGCTTGTCTCCGGCTCTGTTCAATGCGTCTATCTGCAAATGAATCATTTTTGCAAAATGCCATTCAGCCTTCCCCGATGACTGCTTTCCAGAGGAATGAGGCCTTAGTAAGCACTGCCCTCTCCCACAATAGAAAAGCAGGAATTCTAATAATATAGGAAACAAAATAAATGGGGAGAAGGGAAGAGAACGATGCCAAATAGGACATACTTTATAGATACACATGGCACCATTGATTTTTCCTGATATGAAGGTAAGAAGCTGGTTCATAGAATCAATCATAGAATCATAGAATCAAAGAGTTGGAAGAGACCTCCTGGGCCATCCAGTCCAACCCCNAGAGTCACACAGGATAATTGTGCGCTGTACTTATTAACAGTGTAACGGTTAGTTCTTAATTCTTAGTTCTTAGTTCTTAATTTCTCCGTTCAGAATTTATTTTTATATGTTAATCATCTTCACTTGAAAGTGCAGTAACTAGCAGTGAAGCAATTATTGTGTTTACAAGTAGTACATCTCTGTATATACCCTCATCTAGATATCTGTTATTCGTTTGCTCTTGGCAATGAATGTTTGCCACTTTGTTACTTTGCTGAGTCCCCTTGGGGAGATAGAGCGGGCTATAAATAAAGTATCACTATTATTACAAGTCTCTTTGAATCAGTGGTGAGCCTCTATTATGTGAAACAACTCTCATTAATTTCAAAAATCATCCTCAAATTCACAATATGCAAATTATAAAATTATAGCACCTAGTCAGGGTTTTCAACCTTTGATCTTCCTCCAACTTTTTTGTTCTTCTCCTCCCAGAAGTCTCCACCAGCATGGCCTTTTTATGATGGATTCTGGAAGTTGAAGTCCAAAACATTGGGAAGATTAGGGGCTGAGAAACATGAATCAAAATGTGATGTGAGAACGAGTAAATTCTGTAGAATATAGAGAAAGCATAACATGTTTCCAAGATTTTTTTTTTACTTTACTGCTAGTAATGTTTAGTCTGCTTCCTTGAATTAATCAATCTTTCTATTATTCATCTTACACTTTTATACGTGAGGATCCCTTATTTGGAAATCCAAAATACTCCAGAATTGTCCACATGAGTGGCTGAGCTAATAACTTGCTTTCTAATGGCTCAATGTACGCAAACATAGTTTCGTGCATAAAATCATTTAAAAGTGTATTAAATTGCCTTATGGCTATATGTATAAGATATATACGAAACATAAATGAATTGCCTGAATATCTCAGTGTGTGTGTGTGTGTGTGTATACACACTAGCCGTCCTCTGCCATACGTTGCTGTGGCCCAGTCTGGTGATTCCCATATTATCCTCTACTGCAGTGTTTCTCAACCTGGGGGTCGGGATCCCTGGGGGGTCATGGGGGGTGTGTAAGAAAGGTCGCCAAAGACCATGAGAAAACACAGTATTTTCTGTTGGTCATGGGGGTTCTGTGTGGGAAGTTTGGCCCAATTCTATCGTTGGTGGGGTTCAAAATACTCTTTGATTGTAGGTGAACTATAAATCCCAACAACGACAACTCCCAAATGCCAAGGTCTATTTCCCCCAAACTCCATCTGTGTTCATATTTAGACGTATGGAGTATTTGTGCGAAGTTTGGTCTTGATCCTTCATTGTTGAGTCCACAGTGCTCTCTGGATGTAGGTGAACTACAACTCCAAAATTCAAGGTCAATGCCCACCAAACCCTTCTAATGTTTTCTGTTGGTAATAGGAGTCCTGTGTGCCAAGTTTGGTTCAGTTCCATTGTTGGTGGAGTCCAGAATGCTCTTTGATTGTAGGTTGACTATAAATCCCAGCAACTACAGTACAACTCCCAAATGACAAAATCAATTTTTGAGTGATGGTCACTCCTTGGGTTAGTAGGTGTCTTGTGGCCAAATTTGGCAGCAATTTGTCCAGCGGATTTTTATTTATGAGGTCACTCAAATGAACAGATCATTTAGATAGATATAGATATATGTGCAAAGATACATGTATTCCATAGAACAAATCCAAATCTAATGTATTTTTAAAAAATGGGATGAAAAACATGGCAAACATCCTGTTAATGCTTGGCATTTCTTCCTTTTTTTTTGTAGGGCTGGGGAGCAGAGTACCATCGCCAGGACGTTACAAGTACTCCGTGCTGGATTGAGGTCCATCTGCATGGCCCATTGCAGTGGTTAGATAAGGTGCTGACTCAAATGGGTTCCCCTCATAATCCAATTTCCTCTGTTTCCTAAGAACCATCTCCACAGACTACCAATGAGATGAATAATGTCGCAAGGTTGTGGCTTGTGGAAATCTCACATGGGAGCCAACCTGAATTTCTGTATGTAGCTGTAAATATATGAATGTACATAGTATATCATCAGTGGAGTTTTTCATGTCATTACTACATGTTTACTAGCTAATAAGATGGTGGTATGTTGCATTCTGTGCTGTTTACTGACAATGTTATAGAAATTTGGATTTAGCAAGCCTGTCTCTGGGTATGGAAAAATACTAGTGTTGTTTGTACTCTGCAATAAATCATCTAAATAAACATAAATTCTACATCTTATATACAATTTTAGAAGTAAGTAATTTGGCATGTAAAATAATAAAAACTGCCGTGCTTGACAAGATGAAATACCATCTGGTCAACATTCTGTTTCTTACGAACAGTCCGTGCTGCTGGACCCTCTGAAGCAAAGTATAATGACTTTGGCTCTTCTCCATTTTACTTTTGGCCTCCCATCAATTGTTTGTAGTATATACTGCTAAGCACAGGAGTATATTGCTTCTGGACACAAAGATTACATGTACTTTTTGCAGATAAAATACCATTTATATTTCTGCTTTCTATTTGCATCACTGAATTGTTTTTTTCTGCTTTTTGGTAAGTAGGAAGGCAATTCCTTGCGAGAAGGGAGAGTAATTAATGACAATAAAGTACCATCTTTTGAGCCACCAGAAATCATGCTGGTTCTTCATACATCATACATATCCATCATTTCTGAGATTTCATAAGAAAAGACTATTGGTACATCATATTCCTAGTCCACTTATTTTCATTTCTTGTTTTTATGAGAACTACACAGTCCAAAACCCATAATTTATTCTTTGGAAGTAAATACATTGGCATGTAAAATAATCTTGTAGCACCTTCAAAATGGAGTGAAACGTGTTTGTAGCATAGCAATCTTTGGCAGAGAAGGCTACAGACCTTGTAAAACTACAACTTCCAGGATTCTATAGCATTGAATCATGGTAGCTAAAATGATCTCAAACTTCATTAATTCTACACTGTAGATGCACCCTTGGTCTACTGCATCATCAGATAGTGGTGTCATGGAATACCAGTTTATTTTGTTTAGGGTCACCACTTTGGATGACTGACCAAATCTTGACCTCTTGGTAAGTGTTGACCATCTTCTCCCTGAATAACTGATCTAAAAACAAAAGATCTGCTGAGGAAGTCTATCACTGACCACAGAAGGTGGAAACAGACAACCTTAAAAAAGGCAAAGGTGGAAACAACGTTTAAAAAGGCAGGTTGACGTTTACCATTTCACAATTTGTTTCTAGGAGACCCTGAATAAAGTCCTATTCCAAAATGAAATTGTCAGTGGATAAATTTTCCCCATGTTGCATGGATTTCTGCAGGAGTGATTGAAGCTTTGACAGCTATAAGACAGCTGCTTAAAAGATGTGACAAGAGCGAGCCCTAGCAGAATAAGACAGTCTCCTAAAGTTGTGTTTTGGTATCCAGCTGATAGATCTTTTATCATCAGGTTATTTTATTATCACCAAGTCTCATCATCAGAGATTTCATTAAAATATTTTCACTTATTTTAGAAATAATGACAGTAACTATTCAAACATTATTATAGGAATGACCACAGAAAAAGCAAGGTTGCAGAGGGGATGGCAATTGGAATAACCATGTAGTGCAGCTACAGTCTTATTTCCATTGATTGTATTACACAGTAGGGCTCTGGCAAAATCGGGGACAGCAAACATGTACATAAAAAGGCTGGAGTGATACACCATTTAGAAGCCATTGTGAGAATACTATTATGATGCTTTCAAGGAGCATATGAGATAGAAATTTGCATCATTTGCAAATACATGTTGGTCTCTAGAAGATAATGGTGGTGATGATTATAATGATCATAATAGCCTTCATATTTGCTGTTTGTTGGTCTTTGTTGTTTGAGTACATAAGAGAAAAATGCCACTTGCAGGGCATCTTTTAAAGGCTTTCAGGAATGAGCCTTGGGAGTTGAGTGGTTGCTCATAGCCAGGCATACTTCAAAGAGCAGAAGAGGAAAGGAAATTAACAATTATCCTGGGCTGGAATCTTCTTTGGGATTTATCAACTTACATATGTGGGAATTGGAATTGGTCAGTTTTGTAATTTCCGTATCCAGCAGAGGGCTGCTGTTACGTTACTGTGTAGAGACCAGCAAAATGCCCACAGGGCATTGCATTCTGATTCCTATCTTATACCATCTGGCACACTTGCTCATGTTCTGAAACACGTCTTCTCAGTTCAATATCAGCATTTCCTAGCACCTCTCCTTCTCAGTTAAGTATAAATTTATATTAAGAAAAAGATGATACAAGATTCTGGGGAAATTATAACAAAAGACATGCAGGAGATAATGATAACTGGTGATATTTCCAGAGCTCACTGATGAACAATGTTGTGGATAAGTTTTACGGTGGCATTTCCGTCTTTAATATAAATAAATTACAAATATATTCAGGATCATTTCTTTTTTTCGAAACAGCAGAACCCTATTGACTCTACAAAGGCAAATGTGTCAAAATAAGAAAGAACACAGGATTGATAACTTCAGTGATGGCTCTAATCTTCATCAGTGACCATGACCTACCAGTTTCTAAAGCCTGATTTCTAGAGTGTGCATATGCACAGCCATTTCCTTAAATGTAGTGCTTGGGTGCAAAGGGTGTTGGAAGAGAGCATCAAAAAGGGCTGGAAGCTTTGGCTTAAAAGTCTTCCATTAGCATTCAGTCTTTGCTAGAAACAAAGCATCTCTTCCATCTGAACATTAGAAAGAACTTCCTGACCATGAGAGCTTTTCAACAGTGGAACTCTCTGCCTCAGATTCTGGTGGAAGCTCCTTCTTTGGATACTTTTAAACAGAGGCTAGATGGCCATCTGTCAGAGGTGCTTTGATTGTGATTTTCCTGCATGGCTTGTATGGTGTCTTCCAACTCTTTTGATTCTATGTTTAAGCTTTCAGCTAGAAGCAAAGCTTCTCTTTCCTTTAAAAATCTCCTTTATCACTCGAACTCTAGGCATTTGTCCATTGCCAGAAGCCTTTTGAACTCCAGATGCTAATGTATTTCTGGCTCTTGGCACAGGCTCATTCTTGACAAACGTTTAAGCACATCCCTGACTTGGCATGCCAAACTTTGACCATTCCGGTTTTTTCCAGCTATCCTCAGCTGGCTGAGTCCCTAGCATTGTATTGGCAGAGAGACAACTCTACCCAGAGTAGAACAGAGACAGGTTGAGTCCTTGGTGCCAAAGTACTCTGGTAGTATTCCAGGATTAATATTCTGCACCAACTGGTTGCCACACAGACCATCAAAGAACAAAATTGAATATGGTCCAAAGTACCATACATGTCTAATTTTGACAAACTTCCTACAACTTATTGAAAAGGGATATTGGAACCTGGAAGGAGTGTCAATTCACCCCATTTTAATTTTTAACCAGAAAAAGGGAAAATAATTGGATCTCGGGGAGATGTTGAAGGCTGAAGAAAACTCTTCTTGGTGTGCCAGTGTGCTGGCATAGTTTTATAAACAAGGAATAACGTAATTCCTTCATTTTCAAACCAGACAGGGTTTCCCAGTAGGAACTGATAGCTCCTCATAATCAAACTCACCCTTCATGCATTTTAACTTCATGCATTTTAACATTTGTCCATATGGAATCCCTAGCTTTCTGAGTGAAAGCACGTGGTTAAACCCTTGTGCCAGCAGGATTGCTGACCAAAAGGTCAGTGGTTCAAATCCAGGGATCGGGGTGAGCTCCCATCTGTCAGCTCCAGCTTCTCCTGCAAGGACATGAGAGAAGCCTCCCATACGATGGTAAAACATCCAGGTGTCCTCAGGGCAACATCCTTGCAGATGGCCAATTCTCTCACACCAGAAGCAACTTGCAGTTTCTCAAGTCGCTCCTGACACGAAAAAAAGGTCTACAAAGTCTATCTTGTTCAACTTGCTGACAGTGAAGGAAATCCACAGGTTAAGCAACCATGTTTAAAAACCTCCAGCAAAATGAAAGTTTGCTGGCAGTCTTTTCCACCATCAAAATAGCCTTCACCATCAAGAAATTCTTTCTAGCATTTTACTGAAATCTCTTTTCATGTAATCAGAATCTACTGGTTTCAATCCTTCCCTTTGAAATCCTTCCCATTCTCCATCCTCTATAGAAGTGGTTCTCACCCTGTGGGACCCCAGATGTTTTGGCCTTCAACTCCCAGAAGTCCTAGCAGCTGGTAAACTGGCTGGGATTTCTGGGAGTTGTAGGGCGAAACACCTAGGGACTCACAGGTTGACAACCACTGCTCTATGGGATAGCCCTTCAAATATCTCAAGATGGCAAAAGATACTGCTTTTTAGTCTTCTAGAGTGAACATATCCAGTCCCTTCGCCATTACAGACCCTTTACTATATCACATTCCTGGACACAGCACTGTAGGTGAGGTTTGATGACAGCTCAATTGAGCAGGACAATATACTTCTGTTGTTGCAGCCAAGAATTGCATTAGGTCCCAGACTTCTCCCTCCCCATGGCATCATTATGTTGACTTGTGCTTGGCTTGTTTGTGGATCTGATTTATCCAGCCTTTACATTTATTCTGACTGAAATGCAGGTACTTTATTTGGACCAGGGTGTCCAATCTATTATCAGTCATCTTGAATATTAATTCTATCCTCTAAGGCAGTGGTTCCCAACCTGTGGTCTGTAGACCACCAGTGGTCACCAAGAACGAAATATATGGTCTGCAACCTCATCATTACTACACTGCTGCTTTAAAACCACGTGGCAGTGAGAGCGACTGGTCTTGCAAAACCTTTTTATAGTGTCAAAGCAATGGAGATGTTGGGAGGGGAGAGGCTGACTACCCACGACAAAACCCATGACTACATCAGCTCTAGATTATTAAATATGGTTTTCTGTGGGCAAGCAGATGGTGACTACTGGATGGCATATGTTCTGTATTAGAAACAAGAGCTGATGTGGTCTATCCAATGCAACTTTGTGAATCAACACCCCAAATAATCAAACTGAATCTAAAGTTGACCGAAAACTGATTCGTAACCCTTTTGGTAGTAATGTTGGAGAGTGGTCTCTGGTCAAGGTGGTCCCTGGTCAAAAAAAGGTTGGGAACTACTGCTGTAAGGTTTTCGGTAACTTTTCCAGAGCAGTGTGATTTTGTCATTTGGCGACCCAGTTTACCTGATATATGAAACTGGTTCCCACTCAACCTGCATATTGAACAAGGCCCCAGACTTTGCCACATTGAAGGTCTCTGATAGATACCAACATACCAAGATGAAGCCAGAGATAACTGGGAGAAACAAAGCCAGGATCTATTCCAGACCTTTATCAAGCATAGTCAGACATGAAGAGAGTAAATGAACATTGCACATAGAAATAAACCATGACTGCTGCTAAAGTCCAGATGAAAAACTTATAAAATGGACTATTTTCTTCAGTATTCGTTTCAGAATCCTCCAATAAAAATGACCCCGTAAATAATACTTTTTGTGTCTAGATGTCATTGTGCAGCTATCAGTATTAAATTTAAAGCCTTT